AAATGTGCTGATGTTACTGGTCAGGGATTAGGGCTCTATTACAATACATGATATAGTCGTCTGCAGTGTACGAATGATGCTTACGATTTCTGACGGACGTTTTTGTCAAGTGGACTCTTTTATGCTCCGACCAAACTGCAAAATTAAATCCTTTACCTGGCATAACAGTGAGCCTACCGCAATCGTTGTTCTGTTGTGCTCGACCGCAAGGGGAATTTGTCGAATGACCTCTTCAAATTTCCCTTGATCTTGTACCGTCTTCTGAGTGACTATGACATCTTCGTGTCCTTCGTACCCTCCAATTAATCGAGACAAGTTATCGGGAGTTCCAGGCCTCTAGAAAGGCATATAATGGATCGCGAATTCGTAGTTTAAGAGAATCGTACTCCAACGCTATATTCTCTTAGCTACGTTCTGGTACGTTGGTACTCAAAAGGAATTCCTGCGGCCGGTGATCAGCAGGCAGTCTGAAAGCTCTACCATAAATAAACGGGAGAGTCTCCGCAAGACAAAGTGATGACTAACGCCCACTTCTCGAGCCGACTATAATTGCGCTCTGTCCCCATAAATGTCCTGGCGGTATGCGTAACTTGTTGGATTCCTTCACCTGCGTCTTTCTGAAGAAGCACTCTGTCTAAACCATAATTAGAGGGGTCTGCCCGGACAATGGTTTCAGTGTCACCCTCGAGGTTTGACAGCATGGTCAAGTCGCTTATCGACCGTGGCCTCCAATTTTAGAGACCAAACAGACTCCATGTCCTGGCCCAGAAGTCGGCTGAGTGGGAGTTTAAACTGTATAACTCAGCGATGAAGAGACCGTAGTGGCTGACCGGCCCCATAAACAATTGGTGCTACCCGTGTTCTTTGCCACTTTTACATTCCGCAATGCAGTAACTCTCTCTGGACCAGGTACGCATACATTCTCATTGACTATGAACTCTAGGTATTGGACCTCCCCTCGCAAGTGTTTGATTTTCTTCATATTTATCTTAAGATTTTAGTTGACTGGGTTGTCCACGACCTGGTTAAGCCTTCGACTCTGAGCTATAAACTACTGAAATATCGTCCAGATATGAAATATTCCCGGGGTTATTCGTAAGCATCCTATGTTAAATATGTCGGGACAGACCAGGGGGCCGTTTTCGCGGATGCGAGTTTATCGGAAAAGACCCTTGTACGGAGCGATTGTGAGCAATTTTTGTGAGTTCTCGTCCACTTCGACGTTTAAATACGCCTTCAAAAGATCGATCCTTGCAAAAAGCTCCCCTCCATTCAAAGTCACAAAGATCTGCTCTAAGGTTGGTAAGGGGCAAAGGTAATTTTCTTTTGTCTCATTCAAACCAGTGGAATACTCAGCACACAATCGTATTTGCCCGTTGATTTTCCTCACTGCCACGACTGGGACACCCGAATCTGGATAGCTGATAAGATGGATAATGTATTTTGTCCAAAGTCTTTCCAGCTCATCTTCTACGGACGACGAGCTGCGTCGGCTTTGCTCGAGAGCTGACTTTTTCTCCTGCTTCACTCTCAAGCTTACTTCCATTTCAATTCAATTCAATTCAATTATTTTATTAAAGACCCGTCGGGGTCCCATCAAAGCAAGTAAAAATAAATTTGCATGCGAATTTTAGACGATGTAGGCAAAATCTGCACAAAGCGCAATGCATAGTTTTTGAGATTAGAAGTCCGTTAAGCAAAATGAAAATAAAAAAAAACGAGGGGTGAAAAAAAAACTCCAAAGCAAGATTTAAAAATGATTGTAGTAATTTAACAGGAGAAAAAAAACCCTCAGAAAAGTAGCATCAGAAAAAAAGGGAGGACTGGCCTGCATGCGGCGGTACAAAATGGAATAAAGCCCGACATCAACATGGCCGAAATAGATGTCAGCTGTATATGGCATTGTGTAACGGATTTCATAAAGTGGTACGTAGGCGGGTTGGTCAGGACTGGCCTGTATCGCCTTGAATAAGAAAAATAAGTGCCGAAAATTGAAAACCAGTCTCAAGCCGATAGGAACCCAGATGCGGTCAATTTCATTCAACCGAGTCCATCCAAACATGGGGGGAGATGCGACCAGACTACTAGTATATGGCGAATATAGAAGGCTTTGACAAGACCGCCGATGGAGCGCATTCTGTAAGGGCATGATGACAACCAGTCTCGAGGCGACAAG